CGTCCCTCCCGCGGGTGAAGAGGAGAGCGGCGAGGACGCCGCCGGCGCCGGAGCCAGCTACGACATCGAAGTAGTCGGCGATGCCGGCGTTAGGGTTACCGGACTTGCTGCGGAGGGAGGACTCGAGACGGCGGAGTGCGGCGGCGGCGAGAATTCCCCCGGTGGTGCCGCCACCGTCGATGCTGAGGATTCTGACCTTCCCGTTCTGCGCCGGAGTTGAGAGTTTCGGGTTATGGTTAGCTTTGTGGTTATCATAACCGAAGAGGAATTTGTTCTCCAGGATTGAGAAGATCTCGTAGGTGAGCTTGTCAGCTTCGTAGTTTGAGTCAATGTTGAGCATGGGAAGTGTGGATAGTGCCGCCATATTTGCACTTTAATGGAACTTAGAGAGAGAATTTGATGGTGAAGATGGGAGAGTTATAAAAAGAGAGGAGTGAGAGAAAAGTATATATGGTTGTTTCTGTTGTTGATGATGAAATGAAATGGATTGGCGGTAGGAATGGGGGATATTGGGGGGTTTAAATAGGTCGTGAATTTGAAAAGACACGTGTGAGCTGAGTATTTGTGTGTGCGTTTAATATTCAGTGAATGCGACGACACCATCTCGGAACATTCCCTTTCCCTAATCCTTTGAATGGCTGGCTTCTCTCATAGCCGCGCGTTTCTTTTTTTTCTTTTTTCTTTTTTAATCTGCAAATGCTTCACATTTTTTTAGTTTCTTGTTTGAATTTTTTAATGTGTTAGTGCGATGGCAATTGAAAGATTGTTCATCTCTTCATGGACCTTTTTTTTTTTTTCCTTTTCTTAAATAATAATAAAAAAGTGGCCCATAATATGCATGCTTAATTAGTGTGAATTTTATGATAGGACCAAAAGTGGTTAATGTACAGGAAACGATCCATCTGTTAGAGGCCTTTGGTCGATAGATTCAGAATTATGATTCTGGATCCTAATTCAGAATCAGTGTTTCTTTACAGTGATTTTGAGTCATGATTTAAAATTAAGAGACGTTTAGTAAGGGGATTCATACCATAATTTGAATCATGGTTAATGGTTTCAAAAATGGTTCTAATCCATAAACCAAACGTCTCCTCAGTGTTTGGTTTAGATGATTCTGAATCATGATTCAGAATCTGATGTGATATTTTAAATCAGAATCACTCATGATTCTAAAACCATCCCTTTTTTATTCAAGGTGATTCAAACCTCTGATTCTGAATCATAGTTTCAGAATTATGATTTGAACCCAAAATTATAAATCATGGTTCTGGTTCTAGTATGATTAAAATTACCCTGATTTAAATTCTCGTACCAAACGAATCCTTAGTAATTAGTTTGTTAGCAAAAATTCCTTTTTGATGCCAACTTGACACGGAAAATATTGTTTTATATTTTTGAGGTTTTCTACAGATATATTTCTTTAAGTGAAAAATGACAAGTAGTTTTTCCGTCAGTTGATACTAAAAAAAAAAAAACAAGAAATATCTTGGAAGAGCATATTTGCTAATTACTCTCTAGCTCCCGGTTCCATTACGGGAGTGGGTTGTGCCAATATTTTCTTTTAGCATGATATTAAAATTGTAATAACCATCTAGAAATAGCTTAACAGTAATTTCGTATTTGACTTTTTACACAGAGTATTTATAATTAAAGTTCAAATTCTCTCATCTAAAGTTAAAAGAAAAAAGTAATTTGTATTCCGGTTGCTCAACCCAAGTACAATATTCTATCAAATTTTGTTTTTTTATATAATTTACCAAATTTAAAACATACTTGTGTTGGTCAAACTCATTAATTTATTTGCTCGTCGGCTGGTCAAAGTCATTTATTAACATCATGTGTGGTAATAACAACGAGCCTTTTCTGATTGGATAGCATATACAGTCTAACTTGAAACAAGCAATTAATATATGTAGGAACATATTTTATCCGTTTGATAAAACATTTAAAAGCAAAATAAAGAAAACAAACTCAAAGAACTTTATAACTTGAAGCAAGCGGGAAAAAAAAAAAAAAGATAAAAGAAAGAGATCATTTATAACGCATTTTATGTTCCATAACCGAATCTTTTTCAATTAAAAAATAAACGCGCTTCATATTGATCTGTTGTTCAAAAGTGAATATAAAAATTGTACGATATTAAAGTTGTAACTTTCTTATAAAAAAAAAAAAAGATGAGACATAAATATCACTTCATAACATTAATGCGAGTATATCAATTAAATTCGTAAATTTAACTATTTTTTACTATATATGTTATGTTCTAAATTTCATTTTTATTTCATGACGGAACTACATATATGAGTGACACGATGAGTAGTGACACATGTTCTCACTCATTTTTTTTAAAATATTTTTATCTCAAATTTCAGTTTCGCCCTCATTTTATACTAAAAATAGATCTCTACCATTGTAATATAATTTTATAACCCTATTCAATAAAAAAAGTAATCTCTATTTCTTTTATTGAGTCCATATTGAAAAATATTTTGGCTTTGTGCTTGCATGAAATATATGTGCATAATTTGATTCATACAAGGTTTGTTGTCACTGAAGAAAATTAGTGTATCATTTAGTTTATAAGTTTAAACAAAAATTTAAAATTGTTATGAGGGAAAATATTATAACAAAAAAAAATTTAAAATTGTGATTCAAACTTATAAGACAAGTGACATCTAAGTTATTTAAAGGAACTGAAATATAACTAAAGACCGAAGAGTTAAAAATTCTTTTTTTCCTTAAAAGAAAAAAATGAAGAGCTGAAAGTTTCTTAGCGTAATTGCCTCAAAATTTATTATAAACATGGCGCAAAATATCAGTTGCAATTTCTAATCAATATTGTGATCACATCCCGTCCAATCTACATTTAGAAAAGCTCAAGTAGTGTTTTTTTTTTCCTTTTTTTTTTAATTTTTTGGGAGGAGAAGAAGCGTTTCCAATTAAATAACGAACTTAGTAACAAAAGCTCAGAAGCTCAAATAATAATAACAATAATATCATATAGCAAATTGTTCAACAAAGAGCTAGATCATGCACGCTGCACCCTAGTAAATAATCTTTAACTTCTAGGTTGCCATGTAAATATTAGGATTATTCTCATTTTTAGTCTATGCCAAATCTCATTTTAATCTATTACTTTTAAAACGTCCCAAATTAACTCCGCGATTTGTGAAATTATCCTAAATTAGTCCTTTTCTTTTCGTTCATATGACAGTTAAAAATATCAATTAAGAAAAGACGGTTTATTGGTAGTTAATTTTGTGAGTTTATACGTTGGGTTGGTAGTTAATTTTGTAAGTTTATACGTTAGGTCATGAATGTGAAGAAAGAAACCATGCCTTTTCCGTTAATACACTTTAACAATCACATTGACAAAATGACTAATTTACGACAATTCTACATATTCATAACTCGTTTTTATCCCGTTTTAAAAGTCATGAACTAAAATACAATTTGACCTATAATTCAGAAATTAAAAGGGAATTTATTTATGCGTACAATAGCATCATTTTAACCCGGGCAAGATGTAGGGTGCAAAGAAAAAACATGGGGAAAGGAAAAACACTATTAAAACCGAAAATATCGTTGGTTTGTATGTCAATCACGCAAGTAACCATCATAGTACGTAGTATATATATATGGGGCCAATTAAATTAAAAGTTTGGAGACATAAATCTATATAGAACATGATCTTTATATTGTGTGATGTGATCGATAGCCAAAAGTGATTTCTAATACAATAGTGTTATTATATATAGATATTTCAGTCCATTCATAACAGAATCACAAAAAACAAATAAGATTATTGTATAATTTGATAAATACTAGCGTCACTTTTTTGTCACTTTATGCATTCATTGTTTTACACATTGACTCCTTTATATTGTTTTTAATTTAAATGATAATATATCATATTAATAGAGTTTACGTGTCAAATAATAAATGTAAAAATAATAATAAAAAATGACAGAAATAATGACATTAGTATTTCTCTTATGATCTGCTTACCATGCAGTGCAAGCTAATTACACCTTGATTTGATATGGCATGATCCAAGGAACTCAACCCAAAATGAAGGTACCACGTGAACTTTAGATCAAGTATATCATATAGGCCTTGTTCATTTTACCGATTCGAGTTTTTAATTTTAGTTAAAAGCTTTTACAAAAAGTCACATCTAACTTTTCTACTACAGTGAAAAGCTCTCACATAAAAACATCTCAAGTCGAATTGAATACTTGAATTCACGAACTGAACGAGATCATAAAGACGGTGTTTTTTTAATCACTTTTTCAGGTTTTTACTTGGAGTTTTAAATCATGTCAACGTTCTCTGATCAACATATTGATCCTAAATTAATTAACTTTTCCACCCATATTGAAAGATAGTTGACATGATTAACCTAACTGTTAGAAAACTTGTTGCCTATTCCAATAGCTGACAAGTGACCTCATTTCTTGGTTAATTCTTTTGCTAATTACCACTCGACAAGGTAGATAAAAAATTACATTTTCGTTTGATTTATAAGTTTAAATAAAAAAAATTTAATATGAATTTAAATTTTATGAGTGAAAATAACGTAATAAAAAGATTTAAATAGGAATATTGAAACTTACGAAAAGGCAAGAAAATCCTAGATTTATCCCTGTGAAGAGATATTTTGTTATGGGCAGAAACACAGGTGCAAATGAAATTTTTTTTCCCAAGTACAGTGTACGAACGGTTTCGAATCTGATCTGGTGACGCTGGACGCAAGAAAATCCTTTGTAGGGCATTCAAAAAGATATTGGCTGCCCATACATGACTGGCTTTGATTTCTCTTTTTCCTTCCTTGGTCCCCTTTTCTGAAAAAATGCCAAATACTTCATTCAGAAATAGGCTTTAGTTATTTTCATTATAGCCCAAAATTTAAAAAGAAAAAACAAAAAGAAAAATTAAACATGGTCAGTTGTGTATGGTTGTAATTTGTTCTGCATGCAAAAGTTAATCATTTGAAGTAATAATATTATTTGCACTATATATATGGATATAGTTATAACGGATACTCAAATATTTATGTATTTGTAGGTATTATTATTTTAATCGTAGGATAGTAATCTAACCGTTATAGTAAATTACGTATTTCTCGCACTCCCGCGAGCCTTTGCCCCTTGATCCTGAACCCTTCAGACTCAATGCTTACAAGCTTCTAATCTTCTGATGTTTTTTTCTTTCACTTTCGGTTTCTTCTCCAAAATTTTTGTGGTTTTAATTTTTTTTTTATTTAAGCACATTAGGTCTCAAAATACAAGTATTATTAAGTAAAAAGGGCGAAAACGAAAAAGAAAAACCATTAATCGTTTATAAGTTATAACCATTGTATTTTTCTGTGCCATTAAAAATAAAAGGATCCTAAGTCGATCCTAACTAACATTATTTGTTTGGCTATTTGTCTATTTTTCAATAGTGTTTCTCCTTCATATCTAGGTTTGTATACACAA